CGGTCCGCCGATATTTTCCTGTTTGCGTAGAGCACAAAGCCGTTTACTGGAAAGTTACATATTATGTAACACCGAAGTATTTCCACATCAACCATGCAAAACCCTTCAAAACCTTTATTATCATCGTAGGTGACGATGGAGAATAAATGTTCACCATCATATTCATCGCTTCAATCTACACGTCCGCCATTTTTATGATTTTTTTTCGATTTGAAATCCTCTCGCACATCTTTGGTTATTACTAAGTTACACTGCCGTGAATATCGAAAGTAATGGCAAAACAACCAATCAGAAGCTGTCTACTATACGCGTTCGGGATTGGTATAGCAACAACCTGACTTCACACTTCCTGGCTACCGATCAAAGTCTACAGACCGAGAAACGACTATAGTCGTGCGTAGCACTGACGGCCCGACTTTTAAAAACGACTATTGTTGTGCGTAGCAGCCTAAGGGCTAAACACTCGTGTAGTTTAATACTAGGAGACAATAAAAAATTTAATGTGGCTGTATCTAGTGACCTACAGCTCCGACATCAGATTAGTTTCAGTAAATAGATATTGACAACATTCTTGCTACAGGGGAAACGATGCAAGATAAATGGATGTACATTCAAACATCAATGATCACCTTCGTATCAAAATAATGCGTCGGAATACATTGTTTTACACGATCAACACATGTATGAATGCCTCAGAAAAGACCAGATGTGTCGATCATGATCATTGCTTCCATGGACTGGAACCACTTATAGGCTCAACAGATTTTAACCAGGGTCTCAAAACAGACGATTTTCCTCATCGACATCTTTCAAAATAGAGTATGAAAGTTTTTCTCAAAACAGAAGAATGTATTCATCTAATTTTAGTAAAGCGACTGTTACAAGAATTATCAATTTGGAAAAATAGTTGTCAATGAATGTCATGCTGGACTTCGATTGCCGGGGGGCCAAGGAGGGGTATGTGAAATTTAGTTGACCATCACAAGCTCTTTAGTACCAAGTGAAACATATTTTACAAAGAAATATTCTATGACATCAGTTTATATAACAAATGATGGTATGGTCTCCTTATTTAAAGTTATTTTTATACGACAAAATCCATGCAATAATGTTTGTTTTGCCAATTGTCTTCTTTTTTTTTATAGTCTTATTAGTGGATGTACAGCTCCAATTTCAATATAATTTCAGTAGATTTTATGACATTCTTGTTAATTTTAAGGGTAAATGATGCCAGATGCATTCAACATCTTTAATTGTATACAAAAGCCTCAGAAACATGCACGAAATTGTCATCATTTCTGCCATGGAACCATTATACAGCCTCGACAAGTTTTAAACAGGTTCTCGTAACAGATGATTTCTTCTGGCATTGTGTTTTCCCATCCAAGCATCTTGATTTACATTTTATTGTTAATACTTGAATGAAAATTTCAATATTCTTGATGTTAATATCAACTTTGAAAACAGGCCTTTATATCTAATGTTTGACTTTTAATATTGCCTCTATATGCTATTTATTTAGACTTTGATAATAATCAGCTCCTAAGAAATACTGGTCCTATTTCAGTTCTCTTTTTAAAAGAACAAGAGGCCCAATGGGCCTGCATCGCTCACCTGTTATTAATCTAACACTTGTAATCTTAAGATTTCATAAGAACCTATTAAAAGATTTAAACATATGACGCCTCTGACCTTGATTGTCGAACAAGGACATTAGGTTGAAAGTGGATCAAGGTCATTCATTTGAACTAACATGGTAATCCTTCATCCCAGCATGCTACAGGCCCAATTTCAGTACCCTGGCCCTTTTGCTTATTGAAAAGAAGTCGCTTGAAGATTTTACGACATTTGACCCCTGTGACCTTGAAAGTTGGTCAAGGTCATTCAGTTGAACAAACTTGATAGTCCTTCATCCCAGCATGCTACAGGCCCAATATCAGTACCCTGGGCCTTTTGGTTATTGAGAAGAAGTTGTTTGAAGATTTTAAGACATCTGACCCCAGTGACCTTGAAAGTGGGTCAATGTCATTCATTTAAACAAACTTGGTAGCCCTTCATCCCAGCATGCTACAGGCCCAATATCAGTACCCTGGGCCTTTTGGTTATTGAGAAGAAGTCGTTTGAAGATTTTATGACATTTGACCCCTTTGACCTTTGAAAGTTGGTCAAGGTCATTCATTTGAACTAACTT